GAAGATTTTTGAAATTTTAGTCAATTCAACCTTTTTTGGCCCCGCCCCTCAGGCCCCGTCTCAGACTTTGTCTCAGGTGACCTAAAAAATGCTATATTTCTTCCCCTATTGGGCCCAGCTCCTCAGCCCCCAGGGGTGCCACACCCAACGTTTATACAAAATTGAGTCCCCTTGACCTAAGCATGCTCGTGACCAAATTTAGTCGAACTCTACAACGCCGTTCAGGATTAGTAGCATTTTAAAGGAAAAGTTGAAGGACGGACGGAACGATGACGGCATATTAAGCTCACCATGGTCCTTTGGACCAATGTTTTTGGAGATTTTCCTCTATTTCCTGTGGGATTTCTTTCTAATATCAACCATCCCTTGAACTATGATTTTCTATGGCTTCCCCTTGCCAGCAGTTTGATTATCTATATATGCCAAAGGGCATCCTCAATATATCCAGGGGTTACCCTCACTTTTGCTCTCTACACCCCTGGAATATGTCATGGCAAAATTGAAGGCTCGGTGTGTGCCACCTTGTTGATGAGACAAGAAATCTAGCTCGATCCTTTGATGTAACATCAAAAGAATCTTGTGGTCATGTAACCTGAAGTTGGGCGTCTCTCCTTTGTTATCTTCAAAGGACAGGTATCAGCCTAGCGATTGGTCAGGTTTTTTGACCTGAGACCTATAAAACTGCTTTCTTCCTGCCTTTAATTTTGCCATGACAGGGTCCTCCTTAAAAGCGTCTTCAACTGACAACAAGCGTCTTCAAGTGACAACAAGCGTCGCCAGACAAAATCTTTGAAAATACCGAATAAAGTAAGCGACATCAGAAGATAATATGTTGTTAATATGACTATAATAATAAATAATAATATACAGCATTTATATAGCGCCCTATATAATTTGTAAAATTACTCTAAGGCGCTTTACAACATATGGATAATAGTAATGGTTATAATTGTGAAAACAAACAACAAAGGCTTGCAATCACTTTCATACATTTAACAAGCAATGTGCACATAATTGAACAAATAAAAGGGTGGTATTTACATGACGTCTTTGCAAAGATTCTAA